GCAGGTTTAGGGTGGGCATAGGGAAAAATTCCTTCCCCTCAAGGGCTGTCAGGCACTGGAAGGGCCTGCCCAGGGCAGGGGTTGAGTCCCCACCCCTGGGGAGATTTAAAAGCCGGGCAGAGGCGGTGCTTAGGGACAGGGTTTGGGGGTGGGATGGCAGGGGTAGGGGAACGGTTGGGCTGGGTGATCTTAAAGGGCTTTTCCAACCTAAACGATTCTATGATTCTAAGCTGTGGGGTACACAGCCACAAGCTGAAGGTCTTCAAAGAGAAGAGAAGAGCAACCGAAACCTTTCTGTTCTGATACACAATCTCACAGCAGGAAATATTTTGCTCCTTACCAGTTCAACTCCTGCCATTTTGTGCTTAATTTGGGGCAGGTAGCCCAACCAACGGATGATTCCTGAAACCTGATTTCCCTTGTCCAAGGTGATCTGGACCATGGAGTTCACCTCCAGGGATGAATTCCCACCTTCACACTCCTCACCACTCTCGCTTATCTCTTGTTTCATTTGGTTTGGGTGTCCCAAGCCCGTGTCGGACTCGAACGGTGAAAACAAACCTAGCAGGCGATATAAAATGTCAGGTGAGGTAGGAAGTCACCACCTAATGACAGACACCTCTGGATCTCAACTAATACTGGGTCTATTTTGAAATTATAGACTGCAGGGACAAGCACGAAGCTGAGCACCAGAGACACAAGGTGTAATTCCCAATGATACGGCCAAGCCAGTCTAACAGACTGAGAGGGCATGATCCTGCTCCTTGGTTCCCCGCTCAAGGCTGCACAGTCTAGCCTCTCGCTGGCCCTGGAGCTAATCCAGCCCTTCACAGAGCCATTTCAGACCACTAAAAAAGCAGCAGGGGGGTTATTTCCAAATTATTTCTCTGCCTTTGGTGAGATGAATCAACTCAGCAAAGAATCTAAATGCTGGCTCCTCTCGGGCTGGCCCTGACCACTGCACGGTGTCTTTTGATGGCAACAGAGAGATTCCACTCATTTCTTGCCTCGTCCAATGACTCACACTATTACTGCTGGCATCTGTGCCTTCCCGAGTTTGTCTGGCATCAGGATAAGGCACCTGCTCCACCTTCTGCAGCTAAATTAAAGACTCTTTAACCAGTGCTGCCCCTAGGAAATACTCCTGCACTGCAATCATCGACTCTTCTTCTTCCTGATAAACAGGGAGATTCCGCTTTAGTCACCTAACGCAGAGAACCCAAACTCGAGACTTTTCTATGGACTTTCTCTGCCTCCTGAACAACTTAGATGGGACTAGCTGAGGCTTTTGTTGGACTTGCAGCTCATCAGTACCCTGCAGAGAAGAAATAACCGCTAAATCCCCAGGAACGTGCAGAGGGCAGACACATCTGATGATAACCTACTTTGCAAGCTTTCCTTCACAACAGAGTCTATAGGGATTTCTCTGAAAATGTCAGTTGTTCCTTCTTCTTCCTGAAAAGAGAGAGAAGAAAAGTCTACCAGCTAAACGCTTTATCA